AGTAATTGTAATGCACTGTGAATTCTTAGAGTATTTATATATTGTTTTTACAGACTGTAACAATGGATAATGCAGAGGAGTATGTGGATCTCATGTTTGACTTCTGTATGCATACTGGTATACAGAAACAGATGGAGGCATTCAGAGGTAATTTTAATTATGGCAGAATATATATATTTAAGTGGACTTCCTGATGTTTAGGGTGTCCTGGTTTGAATTAGTGATGTAGAATGGCTTTCAAAAACAAACACTTGAGGATGTAGCAGGTAAATAAGAGATTTGTTTCATAACACTTTTGCATTAGGTATACCGTTACAAACCTTGGAGAGATTCAGTTTTGTTAATTTAGAAAATGTTGGTAGATGTTTACTTGATTGAAGTACAATTGAAGTGCTGATGTTATTTCGTTAAACATTCTTTTGGTGTGTGTTCATAACAATATCTTGTATATATTAAAGATGGCTTCAACAGAGTCTTCCCAATGGAGAAGCTGAGTTCTTTCAGCCATGAAGAAGTTCAGATGATTCTTTGTGGAAATCAGTCACCTTCCTGGGCAGCAGAGGATATCATCAATTATACAGAACCTAAACTGGGATATACACGGGACAGGTACTTCAGTTCAAAGTGATTTAAAAATCACTTAGATGTATGGTTGACAAAACACCTGGGATGTTCCTTAGGTAAAGATGCAAAATGGGAGTTGACAGCGATTGAAGAACAACTAATTGCCTTAACATATATGGAATAATTGTGTTACAACAGACAGATTAGAAGGCACTTGGTGTTTTCATGATGAGAATAAATAACAAAGAAAATATTTAAGTGTCAAACTAGTGGAAGTATAAGAGCAGCTTACTTATACATGCTATTAAAATGCATCACTCGAGAATTTTTACTTCTGTCTGTGTTGTTGGTGGCTATGACTTCAGTTGGCTACAGTTGATATTTGTCATTTATTTCTTATTTCTTCTTCAAGTATAGTTGAAACAAAATGTACTGTGCAGTCAAAATATACACTGCTGTTTGGCTACTGGGAGGTGGTCTTAATGGTTTGTTTTCGGCTACTCATCTTTTTTAGTAGCTGTAATGTAGAAATTAGGTGTGAAACTATGTTAGTATAAGCATTCTGTGAAGGATCCTAACCAGCCTGAGATGCTGAGTGCAGCCTGCCCTGCATACAAAGATACAGCTGAAATTGCGGTGTCTGATACCTGCAGGCATGTTGCAGAAAGTAATACTTTCTTCATACATGCCCTCTGGTCCGTGTTTTTTGGGCTGATACAGATGAAAGTGGTGGTATCCAGAGAATTCTCTGAAGATCTGTTGTGGTCTGTTACATTTTTTTCATATTTTGTTTTGCATGAAGTTTTCAGCAAGTTAGAAGCAAACTCATATATGAACTTGAAAGGTTTTAAGCTTAGTCAGATTCTTCAGAGAATAGATTTGAATTGTTTTCTTCTGTAGGAACAGCTAGAGAAGATGGCCAAATAACGCTCCAGGATAAGTAAGGAGAATTTGTTATTAATCTACCTGCAATTTTCCTTGTAGTATTCAGCAAGAAGAGTAAAAAAGTGTTTTTATGATTTATGATGTTTTATTCTTAACTGACTACTGAACAGAAACTGGAATCTTACAGTGATTACTTAGGCACTGCTAAAGATTCTGATATTCATGTCTGAAGAAAAATTGGGGAGGGTAGCAGAACATCTGCCACAGAATGTTATCATAACTGATCATTTCAATTTATTTTAAGCCCTGGATTCCTTCGATTTGTGAGAGTTCTGTGTGGTATGTCTTCAGATGAAAGAAAGGCTTTCCTCCAGTTCACCACTGGTTGCTCAACACTCCCACCAGGAGGACTGGCAAACCTACATCCCCGACTGACTGTTGTACGCAAGGTGTGGTTTCTTCAAGTTACCTTTCCAAATCAGCTAATTTGGCGTTTGCATGTAGGCCTTGCTGCATTAACAAAAATCATTGGGTTTTTTTGTTTGGTTGGTTGTTTTTTAAATCTTCTTTCCTTTTCTAAGCCATGTCGCTATGCCAAGCTTTCAGTGCTGGGTTTCAGGTCCATTCTCTGATATCTCGTTTGCTTAGAAAGGATTTAATGTACATACAAAGTAGATACATTTTTAGGTCTGTAACTTTCCAGATGCCATTGTTTTCATTGAAGTGAACAACTGCAGCAGCAAATGTTCTTTGTTTTCCTCAGGTTGATGCTACAGATGCCAGTTACCCATCTGTGAATACATGTGTGCATTACCTGAAGTTGCCTGAGTATTCTTCTGAGGAGATTATGAGAGAGCGTCTGCTAGCTGCTACAATGGAGAAAGGCTTCCATCTCAACTGAGTTGTTCACTGCAATATTGGACATCAGAAAGTGTTTTTTGATACTAGCAAAGCCTCTTGTGTTTGTGTGCAGAAAAATATGATCTCCACGCTGTGCTCTGATGAGACTTGCCTTTTTTCACTCGTGAGGAACATGTGGAATAATTTTGTTAGCTGCTAATGACAGAATAAATCCTTGTAACTACACAGCCAGCAAGAAATTGGCACAGAACACTGTGTGATGCTTCAAGGGCTTGCACAACTGGAAATTAAGGTGGTTCTGTTTGACTGTTCCAAAGAACAGATCATCAGATTTTCAGTGTTCACTGATACAAATTTCTAACAGTGTATTTGTGTAAAGTTTGTCATTTAATACCTTGTACACTACAGTTGCCATCACTGATCCCTGTTTTGCTGGCTTTAAGCTAACTGGTCAGAAACTTGCTTCCTTAAAACTTAGAGTTAATGGGCATCTCCAGCTTTTTTTCTTTTTTAATGGTGCCTGCACTATTGGAGTATTTTAGTGGGTTTTTGCATATAATCATGCACAACCTTTTGTTTTCTTTCAAGTGGGAATATATTTTGATTTCTCAAATCCCCTGCTATGAAGATCAAATCCTTAAGTGTATTTGTGCAGTTCAACAATAAAGCTATTAAAAAAAAAACAAAACACAACACTGGTTTCTAGTGCAAGGCACACTTAAGGCAAGTTTTACTTTTGGTTGTATTTTCTTTGTATATTATAAACATTTATTTAACTTGTTGCAGTTTGAAGTTTAAAAACAAAACACCCAATGTGTAAGCTCAACAGTAATCATTAAAATGTTTGCAACATATACTGTCTGCTCTGAATACCTTCTTAATTTTACTTATGTTACTAAATCTATGTATGTGTTTTGAAGAAGAGGCCATACTTTTGTCATGGTTTAAAAGAAATCCAAGGCAATAGTTGATGTCATTAACTCATCTGTGTACTCAACTCTCAACATTACACAGTGCAACTGGCAGTGATAAGTTTGCATGTGGCAGGGTTTGGTGCTTTTCAGTGGGCCCATGGTCTGAGATTTTAATTCCTTATTACATTGGAATGAAAACTGGTTCCCATGGTGTGGCAGGTTCTGCTTTACTTGAGGTGGAGCGCCTATCTTGGTTTTGTCATGTGGTGAGATGTTTATTGGCAGAAAGCAGCTCATGGCAAGGCAAAGCAAATAAGATGTCATTTAAAGTAATGTGTCTTTTAAACATATTTTAATGCTCACTTTTCAAAAAAGAAAAACTTTAGTTCTATCTGTCTGCATGGTATGTTTTGTTCTGTGCCAGCTCTCTTTGGTAGTTGTTCTTGCTTGAACTCCTGAGGAAAGGCTTGCCGAAAGATTCTGCCTCAAATACTGGCCTAAGGATCAGGTATTAGAATTTGGATTTCATGCTGAACCTAGCAAGTTTTCCCCATATAGTTAGTTCTTTATGGATGGATACTTTGTGGGTTTTCTGCTTTCATCACTGTTAAGTATTTTCATTGTCAATTAAAGGAAATAGTTCTGTATGTATTTTTAAAATGTATTTAATTGTAGCATTGTCTTGAATTGAGAAGAATATTTATGTTGGCAACCTGCTGAGATACAGGACTAGGCTGCAGTCTGCTGGCACTGTATGTATAATTAGAGATCAACATACTAACCTTAATTGGAAGTTTATGTGATAGTTTGCAAGAAATGCCTATACTCTGTGTTGTCTTCAGTTTGAGAAGTTTGAATGCCACCTGTTTCTCAGGATGCTGAGGTTTCCTGACTGGTAGGAAGAGAACTTGGAAGTTGTAGGCTGTAAACGCTTCTTCTCCACTACACTTCACCAGGCCTTGTTTTCTGTACAATTTAATTCTGCAGCTTACCGTTCTGCAGCTGTCAACGTGCTTTCAAACACAGTGCTCTCACAGTACTCTTTCTGTTGCACCTAGAACTGGCTTGGGCGTCACAAAGAAGGAACCTGATAACTTTGTTCTAGAAAGGTAAATTAAAGTAATTAGTGACTTCAGTGATTTAAGGAATGTAGTACTTGGATGCAAACGGATATTTTGTATGCCTTGTGATTAGAAGTTACTGTAAGCTACTTCCTACTGCAGACTTGATTTGTTACATAAATGTTTTGAGAGATGTGCATGTTTCTTCTTGATCATCTTCTATAGACTTTAATCATGATGGATGGGAATAATAGGGGAGAAAACAAAACACTTAACAGTGGTGTTCCAAAATGAAAAAGATGCTGTGTGATTTATGAAGCAAATGTGTATTATAAAATATCAAACCTTTTGATTTTACTTAGTTTATTAATGTTATAATATTTAAGTGTAACTTCTAGTTACAACTTAACACAGCATGTAGGAATCTTACATACATCTACACTTATGTTATTTAAATGTATTTTGTAACCAAAATCAGAGGATCTCTGTGGTCAAGACAACCAGCTTTTTGACTAAGGCTGAATCTAGTTTAAAGATGGTCATAAAAGTTACCGAACTTTTACACACAGTGTACATACGAATGAAAATAAAAAACCATATTGTTGTTTTAAGAAGTGTCACTGAAAGTTAGTTTGAAATTGTTTTTCCATATTTTCTGTCTTTCAGGTCTGGCAGAATGCTGCGTGATTCAGAGCAATACCTACACAGTCACAAGTAAGTTTCCATTGCTTTATTCTTAGTTTGTTTGAAAGGAAAAACAATTCTTGAGGAGTTTCTTTTTCTAGAAGGCTTCTGCTGTGTCCTTAGCAAGTCTGAAAATAAAGCTTCCACTTTGTGGTTCTATGTCTTTTTCAGGGTACAGGAGAAGCAGGAAATATTTTTCAGCTGATTTAAATATTGCACGAGTTGGTCTTGCAAAATGAGAGGATTGCTTGTTGGTATGCTTTTGAGGATTTCACCATCTTTTGTTAAATGCTTCAGTCAGTCTTGCATCTTCCTAGCTCTCCACCACTTTGTCGAGCACAAACAGCGGCGCAAGAATTCTGCTGGGGTTTGTTTCCACAATGCAGCCATTTAGCACCATTTCATCCAGTATGATGTGCACTCTGTCCAAATTGAACATGATCTAGAAACGTTACAAGTTAAGTATATTTTGAACTACATTAAAAAAAAATTCAGAGAAAAATCTAAAAAAAGAAAAATTTAAAGAGTAGGTATTAAAGTGTGCTAGTTATTTGTCTATTTGTAAGGAGACAGGTCAGCCAATGCTTTTCATGGGCCAGCATTGGAGATATCTGAAGTTGGTACTAGGGTTAGGGTTACATCTTGCAGTGTTACAACATAGAAGTAAAAGAAAAGTAAACTTGAATGTAGACGCTGGTGATTAATTTTACTGTTGGCCTGAGAACCATTTATTGCATAAATATCAAATGTTATCAAGGGATAATGATTTGAATGTGAAGATGCCAATGTCCTGTATTTCTTCTAATCAAACTAATCAAACAATTTGAATTCCTAAATTCTTAAAATCTGATTCTCAAGTATAATTTTCCTTGCCATGAATTGTTGACGTTTTTTAGTTTTCTTGAAAATAGCTTCTTAAGAGTAATGTGATTCAAAAAGTTAATGCATTAATCTAGTAATAAATCTTGAAGAAGGCTAAAAGTAAATGGCTTGTAATTAATTCACACACTTTTTGAAAGATATTTACAATCTAACATTCAAGTAAAGGAAGATAATCTGAAACTGAATGCATACCTTCATGTTATCTGAAATTTATCCATAACAATGGATATTCGTTTCCTTAATGTTACTTACCATCTGTCTCAAAAAGTGATTGTGCTTTAATACATCCGTGGTTCATCAAATAGCTTCCAATTTGGCAAATTTAACCACCTAACTTAATTTTAGGTTGTATTTAAATTCCGGACCTCTTTCTGAATTTGACTGTAGGCAAAGTTGCTTCTAAATATCAGACTCAAGCCTTTCAATACTGAGGAACAGTACTGTCCTTAAAACATGAACAATTTCAGTTTCAGAGCCAAAGGTTTTTGTGGTCTTTTTTTGCTTTCCTTGGCAGAGTGAAGACTTAAATTTTTTTTTCCTATATTCCACTTTTCACGCAAATTGATCTTCTCACAAATGTTTTATTCTGATTAGTTATGGCTTCCTTATTACTGTGATGTGAGAATTTTTAGGGAGAGTTGTTCTATTCCTGTTTTGATCAACTGTGACACTGACCTACATAGGGCAGGGAGGATCTGTTCACAAAGCTAGATAACATTCCATTCAAGTTTCAACAGGCAATAAAGCTAACTCCTGCTGGCTTTTAATTTTTGCAGTCTACTAACTTCAGTGATAACAACACTACAGTTCCCCCAGAGTGGCATCACTCACCCCCTCCTCTCAACCAAACATAGGCTTCCTTCTTCAGTTGTGTTCACACCTCACTTTACCATGCTGTTCTTGGCAAACAGTCAGACTTGCATGGTGAATAATCTTGGCTTTTTTCCCCTTCCTGTAAGACTTATGACTCTTCTCTGCTGTTACATCTTGACATAAAACACTGCTTAGCCATTCAAGTCTGCCTGCCCTGCCCAGTGAGAGATGTCTCTGATTTTCAGCAACACTCATCCTCTCCACCTGTCACTTGTTTGGCAATTCACCCCAAATTTCAGGGTTTAAAGCCCTGAAGTCACAGATCCACACCCAGCTGAAAATCACCAGAGCAAGCCAGTTTGAGCAGCTGGCAACAGGAAAAGCTATATATGGTGTGTACTGACATGTACATCACCCAGAGCTTTTCATTTATAGTCCTGCTTCCTGTAAGAATAGTAAGTACAGTTTTGGCCATTAGATTGGCAGTAGAGGTAATGGCACCTACTAAAATTGGTATTTAAAAATTCTGCTGGCTATTGGTAACTCCAAGAGCTGCCATTATGAAATACCTTAACAGTACTTTTTAGTCTCACTAGGAGTTTTTATGTGGCACACATACTAAAAGGAGATAAATGTGACATAATCCTGTGTCTCCTTCCCTGAGACAACTTAGAGGCAAATAGTGAAGTGGGGAAGAAGGGAGGGAAAAATGCTCATTCAAGTCATATAGAAACATTTTAAGATATCTCAGGATATTCCAGGCAAGTAACTGAGGGTGTGTACAAGCTCAAGACATTACAAAGTACAACCAACACCTTGTGATCAGGTACCACACCCAGGAGCACAAACAAAATCTGTATAGATTATAGTGTATGTGCTTTGCTACTGAATATACAGTATTAAAGAACTTTGATTTCTGTCTGGATCATTCACTTTCATCTTCATTCATCTAAACGTTAGTTGAAGCTGCTGTTTTTGGTTTTTTTTTTTCTTCTCTTAATCTAGATTCAAGCAATACCATGTATTGTCATTTTATCTTTTCAGATGTTTGCTTTAGGTAATTTCTAGCCTATCTTAACAGCAGTTGATACTCTGGGATAAATTCTCTGAAAGTCTGCAAGGTGGCTGATCTTCTGTGAGCACATTCCCTAACATTACGACCCTAGAGAGAAACTTTTCCTTAATGAACAATTTTAAGCTAATCCATGTGAGTTTCTATTTCATCCACTTATTTTACAGTTTACTAACTTGTTTCCTTAAAAATTGTCAATATAAATTCATAATTCAATTTTTTAATTATGTGTGCCATGTTCTAAAAGTGGACAGAAGAATACACTTGACTCACATAAAGTATTCCCTGTATCAAAGCTTTTTTTCTATCCTGGAAGAAGCAGCTAGCTGCAATGGAATGTAATGTTCTTTTTTGGATCTAAGCAACATTCTTCAAATACTTGGTTCTAGAGAATGCTCCTTCTTTCTCCCACAAGGAGAATGTAAATATGTTTCTTCTTACATGTTACTTATGTGTTCAAGTAAGCACTGCTTCACCAGTCCAAGCAACACAAAAGTCAGCTTTTTGTAATTTTGTAAAACTTTCACACTTAGCAGCAAGTTGTTCCCCACAAAGCTGCTGCAATAACACTTCCATTTTTATCGTTTGTGATAATCACACCAGGAAAGTAGCTCCTATGCTACCTAAGCTGTGGTTTTAGAGCTACTTGAAATTCCACCCACTTATTTAGTACATGAAAGAGAGGCTTATATAGTGATATTAACGCATTAGGAAGAAGCATCACTGGGACAACTTGTTTATTCAACTAACAAAACTACTTAATTAAAAACAAAACCAAAAAACAAACACACACAAAACAAAAAAAGCACAAATGTTACCTATTTTCATCCAAGGTAAACTCAAGTGTATCATTGACTGCTAGAATATACACCAAAAAGAGGTAAACAAATGGCTTTCTGATACCAAAAAGGATACATCTAATTCACTCTGAAAGAAAGAGAGATAAACATTAATCACGGTCTGATTTTCATCTCATAGTCATTGAACGTTACATATCCCTTCAGATGATAAAGTCTTCAAAATAGAGATTAAAAAAATTAGGCTGATTAATATCCGTCTATGGACTGCCCAGTTCTGTGCTCTTTGCTGTGCTGTTCCTCTGCATTTGATGTATTACCTACCTCTAACAAAAGCTAAGCTTCTGAAAATTGTACTTTAAAAAAAAAAAAAAAAAAAAAAAAAAAAAAAGAAAAAACCAACCCATTAAAGTCACTCACAAGTGAAAATATATATATGCAGTGCTGTCGCAGAGAATAGGCAAAAAAACAGCACCTCTGCTTATGGCATCTTCAGCCCTATAATCTTTCTTCCTCTGCAAAAACAAGATGGCAATGCAAAGTTTATAATTTTTATAAAAACACGAGTGTATACCCATGGTGGTGGCAGCTGTGCAGCACACATTAGGACAGACAGCAACTCTATGCACTGGACCCCTACCATGTACAGCTATTGCTTCAGCCCAACCAACTTCATTAAGTGAAGTGTCTGGCTAGCAGCCCTTGTGGTCTCTCTACACTCAGCACATGAGATGGGTATCTTCAGCAGTTGTCTCAGCAAACTTGAGACATGACTCACTTTCTAGAGATACTTGTTTGTCTGTCCCTGTAATGGGAGCATAGGATGACCAGACATCTAACTTGGGTGCTTCAGCTAAATGTTTAAATTTAGAAACAATTAGTCACAGCCTCAGATCCCGCACACTTAGAGTTGAACTTCCCCAGTCTCCAATGAAAGAAAAATGTTCCCACAGAATATTTTTATCTGCTACTAAGGGAATTTACTATATTTGTTGGTATGGATTCCACCATTCACAGACTAGCCCTGGAATTTTAGTTAGTTTTCACTGATAGAAGTACAACTTCTTCTGTGGTCCAAGGATGCTCTAAATCAGACTGGTCTGCACTGAGTAACCTTGCCATGCTTCGGTTAGAGATTTTTATTCATCACAAAACTCTATTTTAAGAAGTCTAATCAGTTTGAACTTAGTATTAAAAAACAGTTGAAAACATTGGAGTGTGTATTCTAAACAGTATGCATGGTTCTTCCTGAGCAGCTATAATGGAAGCAAAGGTGATTCAGAATTACATATCATAGCACCCACAGTTAATTATGTTAATATTTGTGCTTATATTTTAATTCAAGCTCTGTAAACTGCATCAGACAAAAACAAAGTGTGAAAATATTTGATACTCACAAACCTAAAAAATAATAGATGAAGTGTCATTCTAGAGAACAGATGTTATTTCCTTTTCCAGAGTTTTGTTTCCATTGTTGTCATAATTTGGTCCTCTAAAATCATGCAAATCCTAAACATTAATCCATAACTGTACAAACTTAAATGTTTTTTTTGCTCTGTGGTTACTGACAGAAACCCTAACTAGAATTATGGCCACGTTCTTCAGTGTTCTACCATGTTATATGCAGTTGAAAATAGAACACAAAGAATGGCATGGAAACTCTTTAAATGGTGAAGAGTTTAGGAGACTTTTTCAGTCATGCCCTTGAATTCATACAGGAAGATCTGCCACGTCTACTTTGGATCTACTACATAAGCACCATAAACATTGTGTGATGCTCTCTTGTAATTACCAATGTAATACTCTCAGACTGATGGACTATGGAGGAAATTGTATCCACCACACTTTCATAAAGCCAATCTAAAATTATGCTTAAATATTATTCAACTCAAATTTGTTTAAAATGAGATTATTACACATTCTGTATTAAATAGTGCCGGAACTGTAATTAATAGCAGTTTAGGACTGTGTTCCTACTGAAGTCGTGATGAAGACAGGGTAAGCATTAAGTAGGGAGCTGTCATTACTCTCACTGAACAAAATTAGAGGGACAGAGCAAATGAAATCTCAAGAGCCAGAATGTTCTTGTGCCATCATTCTACAGAGGCTATCTGGTACAACTGCTTTTGTAACGATGCAGGAACATAGTCCTAAACTACTTTAAAAAAAGAAAAAACAACAAAAAAAACCCTTTTGGAATATAAAATGCCAATGGCTATTTTGAGAGCAATGAGCTAAAGAAATCCCTGAGTATAAGCATATAAGAACATGCTTTCCTATCAGAAACATTTCTGGTATTCCTTGTCTGATGATAAATAGACCATGCATGCTTTTACTTGTCTGAAAAATCAACTAATACTCTTAATTTTTTTTCTTCTTCTTTTTTTTTTTTTTTAACAGTAGTAACATCATGCTGCTGTTTTCACAGTGATATATGAATATTAAAAAAAAATAAATTCTTTTCTTCCCCTGAAAAGACATTCTCTAGAGCATTGAAGAAGAAATATATCACAGTAGATTCAAAGTCTCACTCACCACTCTGCTGAAGTATTTGTCCAGAACCTCCACAAAATTATGAATTAGTTCATATACTGCCATCTCATTCTGAAAGTAAGTTATAAATAAAATTAATGTCTTCAGGTGTAAGCTTAAAATTGATTTTCAAGAACTGTAAATCACTGTGAACACTTCAGTTCAGACTCAGTCCTCAAGGCTTATTAAGTAACAGTACTTAGTAATTTTCAGTCAGATACTTTTTTTTTTCCTTTTGTTTTAAAAATAGAATAGCATCTTTCTAGGTAACGTATGGATTTTCTTCCTTTGTCCAAGGAAGCTGAAAACAGGGAGCAGCTGGGAATTCACTACACAGGAGACAACTGAGCTGCCTGCGATGCTGATATTTGTTAACAAACCTCACCCCACAATTTTAAATTTATAGAATCACAGAATAGATTGGAAGGTTCTTTAAGATCATCCAGTTCCAACCCCCCTGCTATAGGCAGAGACTCCTCCTACTAGATTGGGTTGCTCAAAGACCCATCCAGCCTGGCTTTGAATGCTTCCAGGGAGGGGGCATCCACAACCTCTCTCCAGTGTTTCAGCACTGGTCACGGAAAAGAATTTCTTCCTAATATCTAGTCTAAATCTACCAGTTTAATCTTCCAGTTTAAAGCCATTTCCCCTTGTCTTGTTGCTACCTGCCCTTATAAAAAGTCCCTCCCCAGCTTTCCTGGAGGCCCCCTTCAGGTACCAGAAGGCCACTATAAGGACTCCTTGGAACCTTCTATTTACAAGAAGTACATACTTTTTGTCATGTCTAATTGAAGCTCTCTAATATATACTGCAAATTCCATACTGGAAAAAAAGCTTGAGTTCTTGTCTTTGATTACATATAATTTCTTACCTCTGTCTCATTGATTCCAACGACTACGAAAAGGGCTGCATACTGTCGGTATACCAACTTAAAGTCCTTATACTCAATGAAAGAGCACTAGGCAAAAGCAGAACTTGTCAAACTTAGTAGCTGCCAGTTAAGCTTGAAACATTATTAATCTTTCCTTCATATAAAGCACATAAAAACAAATGGTTTTCCCAGTGTCCAACAGGTAATTTTGATTTAATATAAGTTTGGGGGTTAACTTTGAAATTAAACCTTTCATCTATTGACAGAAAACTTAGTATCGCTTCTTATATGGATAAACTGGAACATGTAGAACTGAAAGAATTTGTTCAGGGTTTTAATGCAAGGGCAGTCACTATTCCCTCTAAATTTTCAATTAGAAGCACTTACAAAAGAGGCAACTGAAGATCATTTTCATATTTAAGAATGGTCAATCTTATAAATACTAAATGTACTAGATAGTCAAATACAAGGGAAAAATCCACTTGCGGTTCACCGCCAGTCAGGAGCCGGTAGATGGTGCTGTTACACACAGCTTTACAAATAACCTTCTCCTAAAATTTTGCTCAGTCCTTGAAATGGCAGCATGCTGTTAATTCTTCTGGTTTAGTTTCTATTTTGACATGCTCTTGCAAGCAGGGTGGAGGAGGTTAATTTCTTCAGTTGCTATTAATTCTGTGAATCTGCAGTTTATATGGGTTTTTTGTATGATTTTTTTTCCTAGAATTAAATGTGTTAAGACCACTGTTCCAAGACACACAATTAATGAAAAATAAGCTGAATTCAGAACACAAATTAAAAAAAAAAAGCACTCACAGTCACATTTCTCACCAAATGGATCTTGAATTTTTTTGCTAATTTTGGTACTTTTCTTAAAGAACCAACAGCTCAATTATGTGAGCCATGAAAATCTCAAGAGCAATCTAACAGAAATTCCAAAAGCTGAGTTTTCTCACTTTCATGCACAATGTTTAAAAACTTTGAAAATAAAAGAAAAAGAAAAAAGAAATAAAAGCCTAAAAATGATTTTTTTGGCCCAAGATGGCTGAAAAATATGTTTTAAAAAAAACTCAAAAACCCTATGTTTTAGGTAGTACGTGATTTGGAATCTTCTCTAACAAGTTTTTTGTTTAAAATTGGAGCTGTCCATGCTATACCTCCACCCTTCTTGGCAAAGAAGACTAGGGTCTATCTATAGATCACTACTAGAGAAGCAATAACAGGAAAAAATAAATTATTCCTGGACTTCTGAACTCTTTCAAGCAAAGGAAGTCTCTTCTGTGACAGTGATACAGAAAACTCCAAAATCATTATAAGCTCCACAGAAGCATTTATTCAGTACAGAATAACAGCTCATCTACATGAACACTATGGAGAAACATTTTTGTTCTTCGTGGGTACAAATGAAATAATGACCTACAAAGAAAACTGCCGTGTTTCTGGAATTACTTATGTGCAATAAAACAACTAGGGAATTAAAAAACTTACTTGATCCTTTGAACGAGAGAGACAGTTTTTGATTACTTCAGCTTCCAACATTGTCCGCTTATGAATTTCTATATGCTCATAATACCTGGAGAGCCTAGTTTGACCTTGTTTGTTCACCATAAGAAAAAATTTTATCATTTTTTTTTGTTGAGTTCAGCAGTCAATTTGAATGTAGGAATCTATAGGATGTAGGAATTTATAAGATTATTTCTGTGAGGAGAGAGAAGGAAAAAAAAAAAAATCAGTAAGCATAGGAGTTATAAAAGATGTTCAAGAAAGACTGGCACTGAAAGGAAAGGAAGGAAAGGAAAGGAAAGGTAGGCTCTGCAATTTACAAAAACTACACATGGGGCTTAGGAGAAATTTCTAAGGAGAAATCTGTTAGTGTTAATCACTTAAAATAGCTTAATCTCTAAATAAGTATTAATCCAATCCAACATTAATACAATGTTACTGAAGCACAGACATGGACAATAAATATGCCAAATACAAAGTTCAATGAAAAATACTATCAAAAAGAACACAGAGTTTGCTTACCATACAAAAACAGGCATTTTTTTCATATTATTGAAAGCAGGCAGAAAAAGGTAAGCTGCATATATATATATTATTATTTTTTTTTTAAATGAGGTTTTTTATTATTTTCTTCAATGCTACAAAATGGTTACTGTAACATTTTCTGTCTGACTCTCCTTGGATCAAGGATTTATTGGCCCTTGTGTTCTTGAAGCATACACATTGGCACAACAGCAGCTACTGCAAAAGTTATTTCTTCATTCCAGTTTTAAAGACTTGCTTCTTGCCTGGTGCTTTAGAAGTTATAATGCAAATACCCTTTCCTAACATCTCAGAACTCCTGAGAACAGAGAAGAGTACAATGCAGCTGTGTAAAAACCATGTATCTTGGAGAAAAGGGAAAAAATAGAAAATCTATTTTATCTATAGATAAAATAGATACCTATAGATATATATCTGTATCTATAGATATCTATCTATTTTATATGGTAGAGATAGGAAAAGTCCCAACATACTGTGCTGACATCAATTACTGCTTACTTCTGATTAATACTATCCACCTAGTTATTTTCTGAAAGAAAAGCCATCTCTGTTAACATTGCTGCTATTTGAAGAAAATGATCACTTCATGCTGTGGTTTACTCCCTAAACAAAGAAGTTTAGATTTCTATATTAAATGCATCTACATGATGATGACAATTTGTTTCTTAACGAAGTGAATAGTGATAACTTTATGTTATCTACAGTTTCAGAAGCATTGTCAGTAAGGAAAATGAAACCAGAGGAAACACTAGGATTGTAACTGTAAGAGCTAATTAAATAAATAAAACTTATTCTCAAATATGTATCACTTTTACCAAAAGTGATTAGAAGATATCGTAGAGGCATTTCTTATCCTTGGTTAGAAATGTTTTAAAACGCCATATGTTGAGAAAAAAATCATACACCAAACCCACAAAAGTCAGTCAACAATAAAAGGAAAAAATCCTGCCACTGATACACAGCTTCGTACAGACCTACTTCAGAAAAGCGGCCTGGGAGGAGCAATATTGCCTTAAAGAAATCTTCACCAAAAATATTTTGAAAAAAATTCTTTGACTGGATTCTTTTCTTTCAGACATACTGCCCTTGGAGAAAAAAATTGCTTTAATTGTGACTTACAGTTAGAGATGATAACTTTAATCCTCTTCTTCCCTTTACTGTCCTCTACACACAGCTATTTACACAGGTAATATATTTGAAATGGAAGAGTAGATAAGAGAAAATACCAGAGGATGCATCAACTATCAAGGAGAGCTCTTCCTTTGCACTACCATACATCTGCAAGAAAGCTTTTATCCCTCTTAGTCTGAAAATTCCTTTTTTATCTGCTCTTGCGTAGGACACCTGCAGGGAACAAGAGTCCAGAATCAATACAGATGACAACAGAGTCTGCTTGCAACCCTGGCGGTCTGTTTTCTCACCTCCTAGACAGAGTGAAGACTCTTTATGTCAAGAAGAGAAGTGCCCTCTTGTTGGTTCCCTCAGACGGATGAGTCAGGGATGTCAGTAAGCGCTGCTGAAGTGCACACTGCTTGTCCAGGCTTTGCATTCTTCAGGGAGTGGAAACAATTCTCTGAGAAAGAACAAATGAGGCAACTGAGACACAAAAGGCCCAGATGGAAGTGTATTAAGGAATCTTCACTGTCAGGTGGCATTTCAGGCTGACATTTATGATAAAATGAGAAGGCAACTCCTATATAATCTTCTCTGCATTTCGTGTATGACCCTATTTTTTCCTATTGCTGCCTTAATTTACAGAGGAGCAGTAAGAAGAGATGCCTAAATACTCAGAGGAATAAAAAAAGAAAAGTATGCCAGTGAGATGAATCAGCCCTGTCCTTGAAGAGAGCTGGTGTATTCTAAGTTACCACTAACGAATATCTAACAGAAAAAAAAACCCTTATGAATTGATGTACATGTATCCTATTGCAGGATTGCCCCTAATCCTAATTATTCTTTTGTTAACCTAATCTTCCTACGTGCTTAATCCCTTTCTGGTGTTATGACTAATGTATCTGCTTATTCTTTCATAAGGCCTGTACTATTTTACCTGCAAAAATACTTCAGACTCAAATTATTATTTTTGTAAATCCTTACAAATGCTCTTACCCAGAATCATTATAGAAATATGAATGAATTATGCTGTAACAGAGGCAGAGCCACAGTAGCAGTCAAATGTGTCACCTGTCATAAAAGACAGACATCATTCACAGTATTAGAGTAGGTGATTAACATCTGCAGAGGAGAGGCCTGCAGTATCACCTGTTATTTCGCTAAGTATTTTGTTGCCAGCCTCAAGCACAGCTTCTAACATTATTTTTTTCTCACACAAACGGCAGTAAGAGCACACAGTCTTCTGCAGAAATCCTGGAATACATTTCCTATCTGATTTACATGTCAAATTACATATATATATATATATAGAAATATATATATATATATTATGTAACAGTATGCACAGCTGTGCACGTTGATGAGTGGAGAATGTCCCATTGTTCCATCAAGTTCCATGTATTTCAGGAACTAGATTTTATGTCCAACAAGCACTACTTACAAAGACAGTTCTGTTTCTTCCAATGCAACTCCTACATGCTTTTCTGTGCATTCTCACGTGCGTGCCTGCATGTGTGAGTGCATATATGCTCAAATCCAATATGAATTACTATGCCTTTCTGCTTACAGAATCGAGTGCTTCAAGAGAATTGGTGACAAGATGTGAGCCTTTCATACTGCTGCCATTATTTTGCTCATTTTAGTTATGAAAAGATGTTGCTATCTGAAGGCTGTTTGTCAGGAATGAATAGGCAGCCTCATTCCAGGTCAGCGGACAACTATCTGCATCACAAATGGGCTCAAGAATAGAAGACTGGAGGGGACTACACAGATCCCCGATGGCCTGTCAAGCCCAGCTCTCCCTGTCAGGGTTAGCCATGCATTTGAAATTGTGTCCAGAATAGCCTACAGTATCTGCTTCTGTATCTACAAGTACCTGTGATGCACTGTAACATCATGGAGACTCTGAGAAACAAACAAAATCCAAACCCACAAAAATACCATACAGAGAAGACATAAAACATCTTGAAATTGTGGTCTTTCCTTCCAAAGTACTGAAGTGTGAGCCACAGAGTGGCTTGTCTACTTCGTCCACAAGAGGTTTCTTCTGTATGGCTAATTTGGCATACACATAAACCACGCTCAGCATAACTCCTGTGATATACATGCATTGTTATACACTGTATTAGATCTCACCCTCATTAAAGTATCTCTTGCAGATAAATATCTGTGAGAAAAAACTGGAATCATGATTGGTGCTTGTGACTTACTGCAGCAGACTGATGCAGTATGTAGTTGTTGATGACCTACACCATAACTTTAACTCATTCTACACCAATAGATAAGCTGAAGATTCAACAACCCCCAGCTCACAAAGTGAGATGACGCTGGATTTTTCTGCCACTAAGCAGGCTCATTTTTCTCACGTGTTTGTATACATAACTCCAGTTTTGTACTCAAACTCAAATCCACCCAGTTTGCTTCAAAACACCATAATGGAAGCTGTGAAGGATGTGCTTCCAGGATGCCAGCTTACTAAGCAGCGTAACCTTGTGAGGCACCGTAGTGCAGACTGTCCCTGTTGATGAGTCACACCCCTCTACGTGTCTTTTCAGATACTTGCTGAGACCTCTTAGAGAGGCCAAGCCTGCAATACCTGTTCTGTGGATAAAAGGAGGTCTTACATCTCCAGTGTGGCCAGACCAGCAGATCTCATATGCAGTAATAGAAAACACATTTTAAACAATTTTAATTACATCTCCAGTAGCTTATTTTGACCAAGATTTCACCAATATCTGTACATACATACTCTGACACATAGATTATAAAAAAGAAACAGAACCCCAGTTTGAAACCTCAGGCAACAGAGTTCTCATTCAGATTAGATTTCTGTCAAATTAAAACCTCTCTAGTCAACATTCACAGATGTAGAAGTTATTGTGCTACATCAAAGTTCTCCAACACTTTAGAACTCTGACTTAAAGCATATTTAAGAGATCAAATCTAGCAAGCAAGAAACACGTGGCTATATTTTTATATATTTGTTTTGACAAGAATTAAACAGAACTGCAAGTCAATAATTCACTGCACTAATTCTATAAATGAGTTGATTGTCTGGACACAGGTTTTAATTGTGTTTTGCCTGTACTAAATGTAAAACAAAATAGGTTAATTTGGAATTAAAAATAGCCAAGTGATAGAAGTGCAAGCAGAGGGGAAAGCAGGTGGGCAAACATTTTTGAGGTATACATTGGTCTGCTCAACTTCCCAGCTACGAATTCATTGTGAAAAGCCATGTAGCAAATGAAGACAGTTCATACAATTGATATCTATGTTCTATTTTTGTTCTGACTGTGGACAAGGTTTTAACAAAAGTCATATCAATAAGAGTAACCATTTTTGTATTCTGGGTCTTAGTGTTCACATTATTATCCACCCAGAAATGAAACAACTTTGTCAACGTAGCTTTGAAATAAATCACCATATTTAACTTCAAGATCAGGAATTTTAAGAAAAGCAACCTCACTGGTCTAGGGAAGCCAAGGAGGAAGGAAGCTGTAAAAAAGTTTTCCTTTGCAATGTGGTTGTCAGAATGCTTTCTGAATATAGTACTGAAGCTAAAGTGCAGCAACTCCAAGGTATTCAGCAATGAGGGACATCTCAAGGGCTGGAATAAAACAAAGGGCTAAGCTGGCTATGAGGTAAGGTGCAGTTTTTGGTAATGATTTGATACTGTCAGGGGACAATGAAAAGATCTGCTGAGGTGGAAGAGTTGGATTTAGACAGGCTGATCAGTGTGGAAAAGGGAGGACTGAGGAAATGATGGTAGGAAATGACTTAATGGAGAAAAGTCGGATAGGAACTGGTAAAACAACTGAAACAGCAACGTGCACCTGAGGAGAGGTCAGCAGAGAGGAAACGCCAGCACTGGGACAAGCGGGATTTATTTTCCAGCACTTAAGACAATTACAGCACTGTCAAGAATGAGCCCGTTAAGGACACTGTCCATGTCCCTGCCCATAAATACAGCATACACGTATTTATAGGGAAGCAAAACCAAATCCCCCTGTTACGCGAGAAGAGGCGGCCTACAGATCCAACAGGATGTGGTGGTCACTCGGAAGCGCTGCACTTCGGAGCTGTGCAGTGCAGCAGAGGAGGTGGCACTACATACATGCGGTGCCACCAGCCCGGGTTCAGCTGCCGTGGCACACCGAGCCCGCAGCTGCTAACGACGCGCCTGTCACTCGCGAAAGCACCCTCGTGCGGTTACTGCTCAGCTGGCTCTTCCCATCACGGAGGAAAAACATTACACAAACCCCTCAAACACTACACCACGAAGACGACCTTCGTTACAATACAGTTAAGATGGGGCACCACCAGAATACGCTTAGCCAATCTATTCTAGAATCACCTACTTGTGAAGCAAACCGAACGCCTCCCGGAGCCCTGAGCACTGCCCCGCGAAGCGCAACGGGAGAGGCCTCACAAGCCCCCCCGCAAGCGCCTCGCCTCGCCACGCGCCCGCACCGGCGGCGACGGCGGGAAGGACGCGCTCCCCCGCCCCCGGGTACGGCGCTCACCTCCCACAGGCGCACGCGCGCTTCGTCGCCTCGACGGGCCGGGAGGAAGAAGCGGAGGGGAGAGGGGAGCGACTTCCCGGCAGGCCTCGCGCGCCGCGCCGCTCCCCCTTCCCCTCCCCGCCCGGCGCGGGTGGGTGGGCCGACGGCCGGGAGGCTGTAATGGCGGCTGGCGGCGGCTCGGCGCTGCTCTGACACCCGGATACCGCTCGGCGCGGCCCCCCGCCTCCCCGTACCCGGCCCGCCTCCTCCCACCCGTCCCAGGCGGCGCCGCTCGTCCCCTCCCCGGCCCCTGTTCCAGGCTCCCGCCGCGGGACGAGAAGGAGGGCTCCCCGCAGACAATGGACGAGCACCCTGGAGCCGGAGGAGGCGGCGGGATGGCGGCCGCGCCGAGGCCGCAGCAGCCCCCGCCGCAGAGCGGAGGCAACGTAAACCTGCAGCCGGGCGGGGGCTGCGCGGGGGCCGGAGCCGGCGGCGGAGGGCAGCAGCAGCCGCAGGGCCCCGCGGCCCCGGGCGGGCAGGAGGCGGCGGGCCCTGCCGAGCTGTCCCGGCCGCAGCACTACACCATCCCGGGGATCCTGCACTACATCCAGCACGAGTGGGCTCGCTTCGAGATGGAGCGGGCGCACTGGGAGGTGGAACGGGCCGAGCTGCAGGTACGGGCCGGGGCGGGCTCCGCGCGGGGCAGGAATCGGCCCGGGGTGCTCAGGGCCGCGCGCGGGCGGCGGGAGCGGGGCTGCCCGGGAGAGCGGGGCCGGCGGCTCTCTGAGGCCGGACCGGTCGCCGGGGACGGGGGCGGTACCTGAGCGAGGTCCGGCGGGCGAAGCGATGTCGTCGGGCGACGGGGCTGGCAGAGGCGCAGCCCCTCACGGCCTGAGCTGGGCTCTCTTCCCTGGGGCAGCCATTTTGGTTTTTAGCATGGCGCCCGCCTGGGCTGCTGGCTCCGGAGCCAACCCAGCTCCGCGGGCCTCGGGGGCCGCGTTTGCGTCGCGGGCGCCGCGGAACGCCGGAGGAGGGCGGGCGGCCGCTGACCGCGCTGTCCGGTCGCGCGAGGTAGGGCCCGGAGCGTCCTGATGGCTGCCGTGCCCTCCCCGAGCACGATGACTCGGGGAGCCGGGCCCTGCTCAGCCCTGGGTGCTGCTTTGGGAAAGCCGCGGCCCGCGGGCATGGAAGGCTGCTGCTTCCTCGGAGCTGAGCGAGCGGCCCCTTCGGGGTAGCGGGGAGGTGGCAGTGCCGGCCGAGGTGGGAGAAAGCTAAGCGGGGTCGGGAAAACCTTCAAGCGACGGACTTGACCGGGTGTTCACGTTGGATACGGGTCCAACACATGCTCTCTTTCCTTCTTCGTTTCTTGGGAGACCTCGCGTGGGAGAAGCAACTGCTGAAGAATAGTGAGGAGCTGATGGGTCTGCAGTGTACTCGTCCTACAAGTACAAACTTTGTGTCAAGAGCAAAAATTGAACAACTCTAGAGGGCAGGGAGCAAGTGTTTGAGTTCCAGTATAGATCTCTCACCATAAATGCTTGCTTTTCATAATGGAAAAGATCTATCATAATTATGTGTGCATGTAAAATAAAACCACACATCACAAACTTATCTGAAAGATCTGAATGAAATCTGCTTAATTTGAGGCATTTGTGTATGAGTAGTGTGTACTTTTTTATCCTGTGAAAACAGTTTAATTGTTCAAAAAGAGTATTTCTTGTTATGATTTAAGCATTGGATGAATGCTTGCGGTCTTGAAGCAGCATTCCATGGAATTGCACTGTAACTACAGGTTGTGATAACATGCTTTAGCAGCAGCCAGTGTTTGTGATATATATATACACACACCTTTAGACTGAAGAAGAGAGATCTCTACCTAAGCCTGGACGATTCAGGATTTCTCAACTCTTATACTAAACTTGTAAAGAAGTGTCTAATTTGCTGGGTTCTTGTTGTTGTTATTGTTACAGCTGTAATTAAGATAGAATAAAAGAAAACAAAGCAAAAGAAAACATCACACTCTTTCCCCCCAAAAAGAAAACAAAGAGATTTTGCTATTTATTTCACTTACTGTGTGTTTTACTGTTTTAAACCGTACAGAACAGCTGTTCCTAAAATCAGTGTGGTGAACATGGGTAGGCATTTTCAGTAGAAAGCAATGGACTGGTTCTCATATTTTCTGTAGTGTCAAAGTAGTGTAGTACTGTGTTCATAGGGTAAATAGATCACTTAGTGGTGTTCATTAGCAAGTAAGGCCATCTTGAAGTACTTGTTTTATGTATAGGCTTGTGACTTCACAGTGAAGTACCTCATTCTATAAATGTGAAGCTCAATTCTGAGATGTTGAAAACTCTGTCTGGAAAGTACTGGTTTGAACTTATGTGCCCTCTAGATACTGTGATGTGTTTCTGCCAAGTCTGCTTTTTTTTTTTTTTTTTTTTTTTTTTTGTAACTGTCATTTGTCATCCACAGCCACAGTGTTTCATTTGCTTATTTCTTAATCTGCCATCCTAGTTCTGACCCTGGCTTTGTATGTGTTGCTTCACTCTGTGTGTGTGTGTGTGTGTGTGTGTGTGTGTGTATTAGCTCATGGGAAGCAGGAGGCATGCTCACTGCCAAGTGTGTATGCATGAGGAGAATGTTTTTTTTTTTTTGCTAACTTCAGAAGCCCAGGATAGAAATGCAGTTAGGAATGAGGCAGGGAGAGTGTGTTCTCTTTGCACATTAGATATCAACCTTTATAGTGATTAAGTTCAATACGAAACTGTGTTGAGAATATTTTTGGAAGACGTGTATGGAAACCAGTCCTATGGTTTTGTATGTACGTGTGTGTATGTTTATAGCATATAATTACTTATTGGTCTTGCAACTCAAGTAATAAAGTCACAGTTTATTCTGTGACTAATAAAGCCCTGACATCTTGAACCCCAAACAACTGTTTTGCCCTTTGAAGCCACTGTGATTGTTGTTCATCTGTGAATGCAGCTTCCTGAGCTGAATAGGAAAAAAATTTGGTAGCATGACAGTAGCAATTAATATGGAAGCAAGAAGCATGAGAATTAAATTTCTTAGGTGCAGCTGTCACCCGTGCAGGTAGTTTCTTCCTTCTTTAGTAATTAAAGGTTCCTTCCTAAGTTAACTTGATAACTTCACAAGTGATACTTTATGAAAAGTATGTGGAAAACCAAATGACTTAGCAAAACTTTGTCATTTTATTTTCCTGTTCTGAACTGAAGATTTTTCCAATGAATGAGATTTTTCTCCAGAGTATTAAACTTATGGGAACTATTGAGTGATTTTCCCACCTCTGTTTGTTTTCCCCTGCATGATTTAGGTGAAAAGTAAGAGCCCTCTTTACAAATGGGGGCAAGGCAGATGGGCATACGGTCTGCCATAAGCTTTTGTTTGTTTTTCGTTCTTGGATCTTGTAGTGAACTTTTTGATCCCTTATGGTACTTGTGTATGGGACATATCTTTAGAATTAATTTCAATTGCAAGTTGCTTCATCATCTTGAAGTTTATGCCACAGCTATAATAACTGAGCTTTGGTCCTTAGGATCTGAAGAAGTTCTGTACCAGCATACTAGTCCATGTGTGTGTCAGACTCTGAACCTCACATGTTATTAGTTTTTCACTGTTTTCTTAAATTGTTCAGGTATATGGCTATTCTGCCTTCGTCGGTGATGAACACTAATTATTTCCAAATCTGTGTGCCAGTCAGCATCAAGTATAGAAAAGTCAAATACTTGGATTTTAGTATTTAAACTGTAGTGTACTTTTCCCTTCACTTACAATACTGACTGCCACAGTAACTTTATTAGTGTTTCCTCACTGTTGCATAGGAAGGAAATATCTGGCCTCGCTTGGTATTTTGAGCTCTTGAATAGGCTGAATCTGTTCTGCAAACTAAAAAGAGGATGATTCTCAGTATAACAATATTGTGCAATCACAGCTGAAATTTCAATCTGTGAGTGTAATGACCTTCATGTTGGGTTGTTGTTATACTGAGATACATGCAGTTCATGTTGTCTAATAAGTTTGTCTAACATGCTTAGAGGAGTTAAAGCAAACCATTGTGGTTGGGTGTTACCTCCTAAAGGAAACAAGTTTTGTATTGAATATGTAGGTGGCTTCATAGTTGCATTAAAAAAAATAATCAAAAATTATAGGGAAAGTACTTTGGAGTTGCACTACAGAAACTTATGGAAAGTAACAATATTGTACCAAGGAGGAGTTTCATAGGATCATTCTGCAACTTTTCAGGTACCCAGGAAAACCAGGCAATTTCACTTTCTTTGTAAGCTTGAAGGCTGAGACACTTAAATGGCGTCCAGATCTTAGTTGTTAATTAGGTTAATTGGGCACTTTCTTCAAACTTCTGAACTAGAAGATGGTAGTATCTGTGCTTTAAAATCATGCTAAGATACATTGAGGGAAACTTAGCAGTTGCTACTTCCAGGTGGTTTTTAACAGTGAGAATAAGGAACATCAATTCTCAGAATGTGTCCAATTTCAGTATGCTCAACATGCATCCTTCTATTCTTCTAACTCAAGTGCTAAAAATTGGTATGTTTGTTAGTGCATTTTCCGTAATATAAAGTGACAGCATCAGTAACATTTGGTTCCTAGTTCATCTAATTTTACAAGAGTTTTTTTTTCTTTTTTTTTTCCCCCAACTATTTATTGATATTACAGGAGCATTCTATTATTTAATGTTATGTATTTTTAGCATATATTTAATGAAAAGGTTATCCTTGAATGTGGCTTTTTTTTTTTTTTTTTTTTCTGGGGGGTAGAATTCAGATCATTAAAGGAATTTTATGATTAGGCCCTTTAGATATGATTGTAGACATGTAAGCATACGTAAATGTTTAAATATGGTGAACTAGATGAGAAAGTTTTCAGAGTATGTGCTGTGTTTGCATCTTTCAAAGCATTTACAAATCATAGCAGTGAGCAATTGCTGAAACACTAGTCTGCATTGAACCTGGTTTTGCTTTTGTTACTTAGTTGAGCAATAGAATGGAAATGTTAGGAGTATTTTGTTCTTGAAGGGGTGGTTATTCAGGTAGCATAGACATCACCTTGCTTTTTGCAAGCGTGTTTCCTTAATGATAAATTGGAAGTGAAATAAGTGATGAGGGTTGCAGAATGGTTGTTATTTTCACATTATGAAGAAAGAATCATTGCGCCTCAGCTTACATCAAGGAAGTGTGGTACAAAATCCAAAGTATTAAAAAAAAGGCAGCTTTTTGGTAGCCCTTTATGTAGAGTGAGATTGTTGCTGCTGAAGTGTTCTTTGGTCAAAAAGTGTTTAGGTGAGGTCGTGGAAGAGAAGTCCTAGGGTGCCGGTACTCAGAGGTGCTGCTGCTTTTACTGGAGATTGGCAATATTTTTTGATGCTTATTCTTCTGTCTGTCTTCTATTCCCATGGAGCTGCCTGTTTGACTGGGATTAAAAGTGGTATCCTGGGCTGTTGGTATGACTAGAGAGAGCCATTCTTTATTCTTTTGACCTCTAAAATCTCTCTTGATATGTTTTGTTTTTATTGTTTTTAAAATACACCTGCAGTGCAGTTTTTGGTTGTTTTTTTTTTTTTTTCTTAAATAACAATCTGGATGGAGATTTGAGAGCATTAAATGTGATTGAACACACAAAGGTTGCAGATGATACGAAACACAGATGCTACTGTAGCAAAATGCACAGTGTATTTCGATTGCCTGCGTGTTTATCAGTTGCATCCCAACGAATTTCTGTTGGAAAAGATATGTAACTGACAAACTATTTTATGGCATCTTACAGATAATCACAGAATGTAATCTGAAGTAAAACTTACCTATTAAAACACTCCTTAAAAATATTTAAACAACACTGGTGGAAAGTGCAATGAAATAAGTTGCAAAAAGTCAATCCACGTTCTTACTTGGGAGTACTTGTAAATGCTGTGAGGT